AGTGGATTACAGGATATTAAAAATGATAATTTTTTTTTTTTTTTTTGAAAGTTATGGAAAATTTTAAGAAAAGGTTAATGACAAAATTGAAATAATTACCTGTTTGTTTGGATATACGTTAGCACTTTTTCACTAAACAAGATTTTAACAAAAAATGGATTTATGTTTGCTTAAATCTCATCGAGATCATGTTTCTTGACAGATGTCCTGAAGATGGAACGTACCTAGTTCGGAAACGTCGACTGTAAATAAATAAATAAAGAAATTGTTTATTAAAAAACTTTTCTTGTTTTTTATTACTTCTGGATTCTTGTTCGAAACTCTACAATATATATATATATATATATATATATATATATATATCTATATCTATATACATATATATATATATATATATATATATATATCTATATCTATATCTATATATATATATATATATATATATATATATATAAGGATTTCTTTTCCGAACAATTAATCCAATAAATAAAAAACTTTTTTTTTATTTATTGGGTTAATTGTTCGGAAAAAAGCGCTTATCAAATTATTAAAAAATCCAGGAAATATCAATTAAATATATATATATATATATATATATACATATATATATAAAGCTAGATATTGGGAATTCACATTACAGTATAAAAACAGCGTAATATATCTGAATACAAATACATATATATGTACAAACATACAAAACGATCAGTAGACAATTTTCCACATACAGATATCATTAGGATGCATCGATTTGTCATAAAGCGTGAATCATGGCGAAGAAATCGAATGTCATTCTTCATAAACGTGTACCAAAATAATAATTGGCTAATTAATTAATTTAACCTTAAGTTAATAATAATTAAGCAAATGATTTTGATACTGAAGTATGCTGTAAGTTACATATTAATTCTTCAAAGGAATACATCAAATAAAAGTTCATATGTCCTCATATAATTGATCAGACCTCTATAACGCTATTTCAGATGAACCTCTTACGAAACACAATTTAGTTTAGTAGTGCTATTGGCGCTCATTACACTTAAAATTATTTATAACATAACTACATATGCATGTGTATAGTTACACATTGCCGCTTAAGATGACATTAAATTATAATGTCAAAACATATTGCTATAAAGATTTTCATGATTTCATTGATTTTTTATTATATGTATTCCCTTGAATTCACATGTAACTTTCAATATACTTTGATATAGAGATGTGCCAATTAAGCCCTTAACAACCTGAAATTGCTCAGATTCCGATTCGAATCAACACGTATCAAGTCGAAAAATATTTACTGTAATGACTTACACCAGACAACTCGCCTGACTGAGACGCAATATGTATAAACACATATTTTAATAAATATAAATATAAAAAAACTAAACCATCTTAACCCTCCGGCTACTAATCCAAATCAAAATGAACCGTATCATTTGTCTTATCCGACTTCAATATACTAATATCGGTTAACCGTAAGATCCGACTTAATTGAATCAACCGACTTCATCGGACTTGACCGAATCAATCGACTTTGTATATTTCATGAGTTACTCGACTTCTGATTCGTCTCGAATGAGAATATATTGATGATAATATATATATATATATATATATATATATATATATATATTGTTCTAAATACTTGATTTTTATGAAATGCCATAATATCAATAGATAGCTTTTTAAAACAAGTAATGACAATTTCACAAAAATGAGATTATTGCAAAAAATTTGAATCGAATCAGGTTTTTTTATTTGAATCAGGAAATTTTCGAATTGGCACATCACTAGTACTTTTATTTGTCATAAATACACACACACACACACACACATATATATATATATATATATATATATATATATATTATAAGATCGAAAATGATTTCCTGAACGCAAAACAGAAACTCCTAATGCTAAATGTTAGCAAGTATTATTAAAGTAGCTGAACATATAGCTAACAAATAGTCTTTTATGGCAATGATCAATTGAAAAAAAACCTAACAGTTCAAAATATTTATTTGTCTCGAATTTCTCAGAAATCTCGTTTCCAATTAAAATATTCACAGCTAATTGAAGCGTCGAATAGTTTTTGATGAGAATTGGTTAAATCTTTGCGCATCTTTGTAGTTACCATTGGAATCAATTGTTTAACTTGACGTTACCAAATAGATAAAGTTGTAACAAACTTAAATATTCGGAAAACCTCAGTTTTAGTTGGCTAGTCTTAAATAAGCAAGTAACGATTTGCCGAGCCGTCTCTTCAAAATCAAAAGATGAGATATGATTTTTTTTTCAAGCTTACTTTCAAAATCCTGAGCAGATTTTTAAAATTCCTCAATATTGCAATGATATTTATATCAGTTGTAAGCCGAAGCTACTAGATTGGCCAATGGGTTATTTTTTAAAACTAACATACATGTAATATTGTCTGTGATTGATTTAGAAAAAAAAAATAGGAATGACTAGCTGTATAACCCGAGTAGACAAAAATCGAGATTGATATGACCCTTATAATAAAAAAATTAAGTGAAAAATATACACGTAGGCAAAAAATAAAATATATCTCGAAAAATCTTTCATTCAAAAGTGCGAAAGTAATATTGATATATCTAAAACAGTAATAGTTTTATACGATTGGAATACATTTGCTTTTTATGCATTGATTTTTACAGCTAAATTTTCATAAATAATATCATGGATTTGTTATTTGCTTATGCAGCAATTTTTACAGTTTGAAGTTTGAATTTACATATATGATTATTGAAATGTTTGGTATCGTATATTCCCTTGTGCTAAAGGCAAATCAGTAATGCAACAAAAATATCGTCCTTTAAACTGACTAACGAAACGAAGTTTATCAGATTTTTAATATCTATCTGGAATAATAACATTTACTTACTATTATTGTCAGCAAAACGACGTGAAAATAAAATTATTATCTTATATATAAAAATGGATCGCAAAATGTGTTGGTAAGCGCATAACTCAACAACGCCTGGACCAATATGACCAATTCTTTTTTTAAAATGTTCGTTGATGTCCAAGAATGGTTTTTACAGCGAGAAAAAATAAAATAATCGTCGGGAAAACCCTAAAAACAGCCCTTTTCTATCTAATACAAATAATCGTAGTCGGCTTCTCGATATTATTTCTTTTGTTTTACTTTCGGCAGGCGACAAAATTGGTATGGCTTTAAAAAATTTGACTTCAAGTCATAAAAGATTAAAAAAAATCAATGTCAATGTCCATTTGCCGCCCTTGTTATTTAATATAAATAAGAAAAAAACTATACGCTTATTAAATACATTAACTATTAAGGGACTCATATTATCTCCATCATTATCAATATTATCTTATCATTACATTCCTTGGCTTCCGTTTATTATAAGAGTTACAACAACGATGTCAAAACCTTCAGCCAGTTATCAATATATATATATATATATATATATATATATATATATATATATATATATATATATATATATATATTATATTATATTATACATATACATGTACAAATAAATGTAAAACTTATACATGGTTTCATAATAACAAAAATTAAATATAAAATAATGCGTATTATATACAATACAAATGAAGCAGAAACGGGGTATTAGTATTGATTTCCACAGTCCTGAAAAAAATTAGAATTTTAAGTGCAGCCTAGAACTTTGGAACCATAATCGAATACAACATTTCTAGAACCACAGTAAAACAAAGGCGACCAACTTAAAAAAAAAATTCATTGTTCAACAAAAAGTCGAAATTCTTAAAAATTTGGGGCAATTGTGGTATTTTATTTACTGTGAAATGTTATTCAATTGTTATTCACGATTATGGTTCCAAAGATTAAATAAACAAAATAAGTATAAGTTAACCACAATAACCGAAAAATGGTCACCAAAACTCTAGGCACTTAAAAGCTCATAATTTCCGAACAATGTGAGATTTTTTTTTCTAATTTTTTTCAAGACAGTAAAGCTCAATATTATCATCCCGTTTCGGCTTGACGTTAAGGTCTGGGACACCCTGTATTTATAATTGAAATGAAGAATATAATTATAAGCTAAATTATAATTATACGAATAAAAAACATGGAAATGATAAATATGATTCATTTGTACCATTTTAATATTTGTTATTTAAAACTCAAACTTCGAAAACGATTATTAAAGTTATTAATAGTATAATTTGATGCTTAACAAGTTTAATTCAAAAAATGATCAAAAGTTATCGAAATATTCAGAATGTTCATTCATTTTATATATAAGTGTTTCATAAACTTTAATATATCTACTAAAAAATAATAGTACGTATATCAGGCATTGTTATTGCACTCTTATATTCTTATACCAATATATGAGCATTTACACCCTTTCGCTACGGAAGTGTTTTCGGCGGAAGTGAAAACACTCTGGAGGCGCCCAGTAACGGTAAAGAACTGCCCAGACGCAACAACACATTTCAAGATAACAAAAAATATATTAAAAAATTACAAATTGCACTTCTGAGGAACTAAAAATCACAATATCAAATTAGAGTTCTCAACTCAGAGAAATCATTCTTAAAGCAAAGGGCACACTATTGACGCACCGAATATGGTTTGTAGAGCATCATAGCAAAAGGGTTAAAATAATACATAAACATATGATATCGTTCCACTGGTCAATATAATCTTAACTTTGTGCAATTGTGAATAAACTGGACTCGACATTAAAATGGTTTTATACTTGATTTTAAATCAAGTATAGACATGACGGTACACTCAAAAGTTATGAGTTGACGATTCGGCAAATTAGATTCATGACAATGTTTGTTTTGTTTCTAAATGAAAAAATAAGAAACATTTATCGTTTGGCAAGTGCAAATACTAAAAATCATGCACATATTCACAAAATTTCTTTTACTAAATAAGCTGAAATGATTATACTAAGAATACACAAACATAAGACAATGCCAGTGTTGACTGAATTTTAAACATTAATCTATGTATACTAGGAATCATCACCATTTGGACTATTTCTAATAGTATCATATTGAGAGTTTCTATTCTTCAACATTCGCACAAAACTCCCTAAAGCAAATATAGCGCTTCTGTGCTTTTTAAATATACCTTCATATAATGCTTCTCTCAACATTTTTCTATCAACTGTTTCAGTTGAACTATTGTTCAAATGCATTTTGTGGTTAATTAATTTTCTGGTATTATTAGTACTGCATTCGTCATCTAAAGATAAATTATTTTTATACCCTTCTGAAAGTTTGACTCGATTTCTCAAACGTTCATCAAAGGAAAAATTTTTAAATAGCGTTGAATGTTTTTCAGACGCATTGTTGTGATGAGTTCGTTTTACTTCGGTTATGTTCAAATCTACGCCAGTAGCGCTGACTGTACGATTTGAAGCTGTCGTGGATTCTAACATTTTATTTTTTTCAATTATTAATTGCTACAGTAATCAATACTTGACACAATGCCAATTCACTAGAATTGGTGGTTTATAGTAACTTAGCATCAAGTTTTTCAGCATCATATATTTGTGAATACGTTTTGCAAACGCGTTTTCGTTAAGTATACAAATTATACTCAATATTTAATATATATTTTTCGATACATATTTCTTTTTTATCCAAATCAAATTCTGTAATCACAATTTCATTCTTTAGAAACTACAAATTCAAAGCTTACTTTACTATAATTGTTTACAAAATGTAATTTTACTCTCTCATAATATTTCTCTTATAAAAAAACATCATTATTATGTTAATAATAAGAACTATATCTAAGTTAAAAAATCTTACAAACTATAATAATGAGCTTGCTGACGAATTGCAAGTTTCATAGCTTAATTCAATAGTTCTCATATAAAAAAACTGTAGAAATAACCCTATTGCTAATATTAATTAGGTTAGAATTATTTCATGAAACCTTAACTCTTTCCTCATTACTGCAATTCAGTCTTCTTAAAATTCCATATGCTGAAAATTATGCACAGTATTATACCATATCAGTTCATTATGTATAACCCGAAAATAATAATTGATAAATTTTAAATTTGATTGAGAATATTTTTAACGAGAATGAATTATCTTACAAAAATGCAAGAAATCTAATTTCTTGCTATTACTTTCAAGCAAAATTTTATGCCTGCCGACAGATCAGTTAATCAATGCCTAATTGATTCCTCAATTTTAAATTTGAATATTTTATGTTCATATAAATATAAATTATGTATATGTATATGTAAATGTTTGAATTAATTTGTTTTACCAAAATTATGTAATAAATGTATAACTTCAAGGTGGTCTACACCCACAATTCGCATCATTATCATTCATGCTTCTAATACTTTGTTGCACAGCATTATTTTCTCGCAAGAAAATTTCTTTTTAATAAGATATCACTGCTAAAATAGCTGCTGGTAATAATTTTCCTTCCTGTGACACTATGATCAAAAATATGAGTCGTTATATATTAATTGCTTACTATGTCACAAAATGATTGGTATCGTGTATTTGGTAATTTCATAATCCACCCATAAATCTACTAAAGTTCAGTTTACTTCATCCATAAAACTATCCATAGAATTATAGTCAATTCTCCTTTTGGCACCAAACATTATCTTGATTTTTTTTCACCTTTTGTATGTCACGTATGTTGATATATTGTGTGATGCTTCATTTTCCCTGTTAAGTCCTAAAAATGTTAAAAAATCCAATTTGTGGTAATAATCTTCATTTAGATCCATTTTAATAAAGATATTCTTCTCCACATGCCTTACAAAAATGTAATCATAATATTAAGTGTAATGTTTTCCAAAAAAGAAAAATAATGTAAATATTACACTGAATGCAGTGGATTGAAAGTGAATGGATAGACAAACGACAAAACCTTTAACAATGGGTCAAAATGTTATTAACACAATAAATACAAAACACACACATAGTATATATATATATATATATATATATATATATATATATATATATATATATACATAGTGTGCATGAGTAACTGAAATCATTAATAAACCTAAAAAGTAAGAAACATAGTAATTAAATTATAAAATACGGAGAAACCAAGATAATATTTGAAATAAGTATAATATATTATAAATATCTCGTAGAACAAACAGGCCAATGAAAATATACTAAAAATTATGTTTAAAGACAGAAAACAGATCATATACTTGAGTAGAGATGAATTCTATGCAATGTACAACACTAGCCTCAGCTTTTTCACATCAAATCCAATAAATAAAAAACTTAAATAAAATCATAATTTAAAAATTATAAATAAATAGTTTAAGTATATTATAACGATTTAAATGCTAGTATGCATTATCCGAAATATTTGGGCATTATTTAAATAATATTAGAAATAGTAAATGTTTTTAATAATAATATAAAATTATTCTTAGCATATAGGGTACTTTGTTGTAAATGTTAATCCGAAAACATCTTAGCTCATATTATATATATTGTATTGGATATTTTCAGTTATATGTATGTCGTGTACCATTTTATTGATTATGTTTCTTTCCGAAAAGCCAAGCATTCAGTCATCCCTCTTAATCTAGAAAAAACTTCACATATTTATTGACACGATCGTCCTCTGTTTTTTCATTTATTTGAAATTGACGTTATAAATAATTTGATCCATCACGCATTACTGTCACATTGAGAACAGGTGTTTATAACATTTTGTATCTAACCATCACGAAAATGCATACACAACTTATTCGAAGTAAACTTAATTAATATACATTCACGTTTATTTCGGAACCATTATGATATGAATCGCCAAGACACAAAATAATATATAACGTAATGCATTATGAACATTTATCATACTTTGCTAGGTGAAAAAAACTACAAAGACTCGACTCAAGCAAGTAAACATGCTTGACATGACATGACTGACATGACACAACTACCAAAGATATTTCAAATCCTTCGCGAATCCTCAAGAATGTGAATGGTGGCAAGCGTGGCAAGATAGGAATACATCGCAACTGTTGAATTAAAATTCTTTGACATACGAATTTGTGATGAATAAATTATAATGAGATATTTTACTTGTTGTCCGTTTCAGGACAGTTGTAAAAATTATTAAAATAAAAAAAAAAAAAAAAAAAAAAAAAAATCATAATGAGAAAACTTGCTATACGAAATTAGCACCACATTGATTTTTAATTAATTTATGCGCTATTTTAAATTTTTTTTCAAAAATGCTCTATGTACCAGTTTTCAACTTTTAACAAAAATCATTTTATATTGATTATTATATGTAATATTCTACAGGCTTTTTTCGATACCTCTTACGACAATTACGCATATTTTCAATGATATCTTGGCGATTTTGGTTAGAATGTAATAATAAATATATCAAAAAAAAAAGATTTAATTATTGTAATTTGTTCTTTTATCCTGTATCAAACTCGAAATATAGTTTGACTATAAAAAATTGACAAATACCTGATTACGAAAAGCACAGACAACATTATTTACATTAATTATGCTTTCGTATTATATACACTCTAAGTATGTAAATGATTAATCGATTTTACATTTTTCAATTAATGCTCAATGTTCAATTATATTTGACGTAGCTTATTATTTATCCTTGTATTAATGCAGAATATATTTTCGAATACAATGTAAAAATGTCTCAATTCTTTTCGCACATCTATAAAATACGCCGTTCTCTTAATATTATAAAAATATATTACTGCAGTAATTACGATTTGCTGTAAGCTATATTTAAATATTAACTTCAATGGACAGGAAGACGCAATTTTCTTGATCATCTTGAATGAGAATAATTAAATATATATAAATATTTTTGTTTTATCTATTTCTTAGATTTGTTCGTTAATGCGTTTTATTAGTTATGCTAGAATGGTATCTAGAATAGCAGTTGCTATTCTGGACTAAATATAACAAATCATAAGTCATAAAAAAACGTCCAATCACTTGAGTAGTAAGTGGTGAAACAAAGACAACGACGTGTTAATAAATATTTAAACTCTCATATTGTGTAAGCCTTTTATCGTTTTTGAGAGAAAGCCTAACACAATCTATCAGTTAATCAATATATAATTATTTGATATATAACATTTGTTTTCATACATATTTCAAAATTTACAAAAAGTTTATCATACTAAAGTATGCGGTGTTGTTGCATTATTGTAAAACTATATTACACTTTAATTAATTAACCAGTGCTGGAGAGATTTTCTATACGTTGTAATATAGTAGGATGAGTAAAATACCAAACAGAAAATAACCAATCATTCACTGGAAAAAATAACATGTCTTGTTGAATTTTAATCAAAGATGTTTTTAAAGCAATTTCGTATCCTTCGGCCTTCACAAATTGATCTGCTTCGAACTCCATTCGCCTGGAACGCATATTAAACAAAAATTGTATCAGCGCATTTATTGGCGCCATCACCAATTCCATAATAGCGACATACCCCACCATTATAGGTCTTCGTCCTGGAGGAAATCCTACAGCAATATATAAAGGCCCATGACGAAACATAGCAGCAAATACACAAACTTGGCATAAAACTGCAAGTTGAGGAAGTAATATATTACCGCTACTATGATTTAGTTTCCAATGTCCAAGCTCGTGACAAACCATTGCTAGTAATTCTTCATCTGTACAACCAACGCCCTCTGGTGCATTCCTTTTAGTATTGTACAAAACGATTTTATTGTACTCCCATACTCCTGTTAGGAGAGCTCTGCCGTGACCGGTGCTTACGCCATCACCTTTTTCTATATAAACTTCAACTAGCGGAAAGTCATATTTTGCTGCCATTTGTTCTATAGAATTACGTAGATCAGATGGAGGAAGGGGCTTGTAAGGATCGAGCATTGGATCGATATATGATGGAGACACTATAGATATGAACAATGTTGTCGATCCAATTAACAGCCACAGCCAAATAAATACATATGAACCCTCCATTTGAATTATATACAGTGCAGTGGAACACACCGGTAAAAATATAAATTGATTTATTAGAAACGAACGCAACTGATCCCATATGTAAGACGGTAAAGGCCTTTCGTTGAAGTCATGATCTCGATCCAATAACAACGCTTTGTAATATAGCAATGGACATCCAAGAATGCTTAAAATCAAATCGTTGAGGAAAATGAAGAAAAGATTTACAAATATTGAATCATCTGATTTGGTTGGTGGTGTTTTTGTAATTATTTCAGATATCTCAAATAGTCCAGCCATCCATCCAAATTGTATAATTGCAGTCCACAAGGCGCTAGTATACATATCCTTAGCAACCAAGTATACCGCACGTCTGATACTCTGTTGACGCATTATTTCATAAATGTCGTTGTCAAGAACTGCTGCAAATGGTGCAGGAATTTCTACAGCTGTTCGGTACGTGCGCATTTGCCTCATCATTAAATAAATTCGAAACAGTGCACGAAACCATATGAAGGCAATAACATAACGATAAATTAGTCTGTCATTAACAATATCCAAATTACAATAGTGCTGTTTTTGAGAAGACATCGTTACTGCGCCGAAAAATAGGATCAACTTATACAATAAATTTTGAATTTTTTTAATTTATACACATATAATTTTGACATTTTGAATAAATATTAGACAATCAGGATAGCTTCGACACTAAAATTTACTTCAATGTCAATCTCGATTTCAAATACGTTACATGTAATATAATGTAGTTACACATACACACACACACACACATACATACATATATATATATATATATATATATATATATATATATATATATTATGATATAGCACCTCAGTAGCGTTCAACATTTCACTACAATCAAGAAAATCCATACACACTTCAATAAGATCCATATACATTTGTCTAAATATTATAATAAATACTTACGATTTCATGGACAGTTAAAAATGATAGTCAACTTTCGACGTAAGCTTTCAAATTATTCTTATTAATGTTCGTGATCATTTAATTACGTTTTTTGCTTATAAATATATTTTTTCGACAGAATTAGTTAATTTTTATTTATAAAAAATGCTGCTACATACAACTAACGCTTGAAATAGTGCACAATAGAATTCTATTAAATCTTAAGAAACAGTAACACAACTGCAAACAGTCATAACACTCTATATAACGAGATTATTGAATATAATTGCAAAAATTGTTATAGACAAGCAACAACAACACTATGTATAACGAGACTATTGGATATAATTGCAAAAAATGTGTCCGCATAACTATGTTTTTGTTAATTACATAATATTAACGCGTAGCGATTTTTGTTTTTGTATTTCGTACAGCCAGCACAAGACGTCTTTGAGTATTTATTAATTTGAATTATTTCTGCATAGAAACAATGATCAATTAATAACTTTCTAGTGTTCATTATACTAACCATTATACTCATTCATTATACTCTTCTTTTATCTATAATACTAATAATAGAGCATGTTACTATGTTACATAATGTCTAACTAATAATAAATAATAAATGATAGCGACTTTGAATAATAAGAGCGAGAGCAACGGCATTGACACCTAGACAATATTAGAATACAATATATTCATATAGTTCTTAACCGAAATTCTAACCGAACTAGATCAGCTGATCGGTTCTTGCTCAGGAAACACGTACGAGTAAAACCAAAAACCAAAAACTCTACGCGAATTTGTTATGGACGAGCGGACGAGCCACGAACTCATTCGTCAGAGCATGCAGCGCCACATGCGAGGTGAGTGACATTTGAAATTACAAGACCAGAAGACGAATTTTGGCCGACTTTCGAAGACACATAAAAACAGTACATTTTCCAATCGGCTGCATATGTTTCACTAAATATGGCCATTCCTGCTGGGAATAATGTACACGACATATATTATGATAATTCTGAATGGAAACCAATAAGTTTAACTCTTGTGGAATATCCCAAAGGTTAGATATTTCTGAAATAACCTCAAATTATTTAACTAATCTATCATAAATTTACAGAAGATCTGTTTGGACAAATTCTAGCATGGCTAAGTTTAGCACCACTTGCAATTGGAGCCGGTTTTGTATCTTTAATATTGTTTAGAAGAGATTTACATACAGTTAGTAACAGTGTATGAACCAATTGTAGGTCACTGAAAGGTTTTTAATTTGTATTATTTTGCAGATAACGTTCTTTATAGGGACATTATGCAATGAGTTTTTAAACATGACATTAAAAATGTGGATACAACAACCTCGACCAGTTGTACGAAAAGGTTTCTATTCTGAATATGGCATGCCTTCCAGTCACGCACAATTTATGTGCTTCTTTTCTACTTATGTATTACTATTTGTTTTAATTAGGTAAGGAAATTGCCCATAATATGCATCAGAGCCCATAATATTACACATTTTACAGTATTTTATAAATTCTAGGTTTCATGTTAGCTCAAACTCTGCTCTAGAAAGATGTTATCGAGTAGCAATAGTAGGTTTTTGTTGGCTTGTGACATTTTTTGTTTGCATAGGCAGAGTTTACTTATTATACCATACAATATCCCAAGTCCTTTGGGGTGCTCTGGGAGGAATTCTTTTTGGTTTATATTGGTTCAGCTTTACACATATTGTGTTGGGCCCACTGTTTCCTCACATCGTGTCCTGGTTAGTATTAAATTAGTCCACATTGCTTAAAATTGGAATTTATATGAGGGGTTTGAAACGACTTTGAGAGCAGTTATGCTTCAGTTAAAGGAAAAAGTTGAAGTAATTTAAATAAAAACACTTCTCAATTAGAGCAAGAAAAAAGCATTACACTAATTCAATAGTTTGGCCTCTGAAGCATAGTGTTTAAATATTTGTGTAAGCATCAATTATTTTACTTTTAATGTTACACAGTGGAATTCTCAGTCTAAGTACTACTAATTTACATAACTAACTATCTTAAATTTTGTTGTAGATTTTTCAAGATGAGAAGTCAATTTAACATAATATGCTTTATGATGTATTTGAATGTAACGAATATGTAACTGTATTAGTCATAAAGATTATTCTTTGAAGCTACTTTGATAATTTATTTTAGGAAAATCTCAGAGATTCTTTTACTTCGTGATACTACTCTGATACCTAATGTGTTATGGTTTGAATACACAGTTACAAGACAAGAGGCAAGATCTCGAGCTAGGAAATTAAATGGAAAGATTCGCTGACAATGACCAATACGGGACTGTTTCATTTTATAACATTCCTGATGGCAGATACAGATGTTAATTTATTTGTTTTAAATAAGTACATAGAACTTCTCTAATAGTGAGATATGACGAAGTAGTGACACTTGAAAATTAGTCTAAGGAGATGGTTTTTGTGCAGGATAAACTTAGTTATTATAGTGTGTTACGTGAAACAAGTGAAAGTAAGCTTGAACAATATTAGTAAAAAATCTTCGTATATTCTGAAATTATGGGGTCCATAACAAAGCCTTTATGAAGGATGCAAGTATCTCCATAGGTTTTGAGGAAATATGTTAATCAAAAACTTTACAAGGTTAATCAAAATTACTTGAGAAAAGCAGAAGCATAAAATATAAGTCTTGTTTATATCTCAGCATTAATCTTGATAACAACTGTTCATATCTCTGAAACATAATTACTTAAGCATAATTCTATCATAAATAATAACTGTTCACTTTGCATGCATAGTATGTATAGCATTAAGGAATAATCTACCCGTTAAAGTTAAAATTTCATTAGTCTTGAATCTTTTGAGCATCTGTTTCAGATTCAGATCTGAAATAATACTGCCAAAATAAATACTGACACAAGTTGCATTTTTGTTTCCTGTTTGCTACTTAAACATTAGAGAAAATTGTATATATTGAATGCTTTTATAGTGAGTTACAGATAATGAACTGTAGATTCATATGTTATGGAAACAAATACAGCAGCTAATTAGGGTTTTGCAGCTTTGTACATAGTTTTTTTATAAATCATATAATAAAAACGTACCATTTTTATTGAAGTATATTTCATTTTCTATTTACAATTCTTTCTTCATCAAAAATTCTTAAGCATCATTTTTTAATGCACATTTGTGTTACTTTGAACAAAAATGATCAAATATCACAATAATTGTGCATATGTAAGTATTTTAATCTTGATCTTCATAAAATAGCTTTAGTTAAATTACTCTTCCTTTTCTAAAAGTGAAAAAAAAAATAATTATGTCCTCAGCTCACCTCATTTCATTAATAATATATAAATTAAATGAGAACATCTTATCTAATCACATTATAATTATAAGCAATATAAATGTTTAGAACTGTGCTTCAAGTATTCAGCATTTGTTTTAAGGATCGTTATGCAACTAGACGTGTGTGGCATTTTGGCTTTAGGTAAGATGCACAATTTTACTGACAGGTAACTAATTGGCTTAATCAATAACAAATCAATATATAAGTGATTTATAAGTAAAGTGAGTTGCATTATAATATTAGAAACTAAATTACAAATTCTACCAAACATTATTGAATTTTTATAATTAAACCAATAAACTAATCTACACATACGCAAAGTTCCAACAACTAATCAAGATGATTTGCACCTGATATCTTTCAAACTTTTTCTTTATTATCAAAACATGGAAGATTTTTTATTTCATATATCAACTAACCGTAATGAGACGGCTAGGCCGATCGTCGCGAAAAGCAAATCAAAGATAGTCCATATCGTGTTTTATCAAATCAAAACATAAACTTCTTCAAGAAGTTAATTATTATTGGTGCACAAGAGAAATTCACAATTAGTGCGTCTTCATTGAAAATTAAATAGAAGTAAATTAAATAAAGCCATCCTAAATATAAATGAAAATAAAGACAATGCAATTAATGTTTAAGCAAAGAGCCCAAAAAAAGATTTTAATAATGAAGGCCATGGGCATGTTTCCATGCCCCACTCTGGTATTTACACAATTTATATGTCATTTTATAGGTTTTTTCAAAAAAAAAAAAAAAAAAAAAATGTATACAAATTTTGAACCCATAGCACATCATTTGGCCGAGATATCATTGAAAATATGTGAATGTGGCCCCATTTTTTACTTTTAGATGGTATTATAAAAAATATCGGCAAACAACTAACGTGGTTCTATTCACAATTGTCTGTTTAATATTATTTATAACACAAATATTGTTGAATAGTTATTTGTTAATGCATGAAAAAGTAAAAATAAATTCTCGTTTCGTATATTCTGAAAATATATCCGGAAAATCGGAGCCAGTCTGTGCGTTTTGTGTACTAGAATACTCATGCTTTTGTAGAGAATATTATATATAATCGAGCATATAAATAATTTAAACCATGATACAGATTTTTCAACCCAAAAACTTTACATTTTTAAGAGAATGTAATTAAAAGAAGATTCGCTTAAGGGTTGTTTTTGCACTTGCATAACGATAGGGTCATAAACAAACGATTCCACAACACGACCCTGAACGAATCAAACACGTGGTTCCTAAATAGCGTGTCAAAATTTCTTTAGAAAAATGACAAGATCCCATCGCTTTTTAAATTTCTCGTATCTTTTTACCCGCAAACTTTTAAGCCCCGCTTTCCCCTAATTTGTTTTCGACTATATATTCATTTTTCGCCAGAAACGAAATTATAAAATATTTTTCAACCGAAAAACAATAAGATTGTAATTCGAAAGTGATAAATGAGTACAAGTCTTTGAGGTCTAAAATATTGAATCTTTCTATGCAACGAAGTCTCCAACAAACTGTAAAAAGACTCGCGCTCTAAAATATTGAATCTTTCTATGCAACGAAGTCTCCAACAAACTGTAAAAAGAATTAGGTAGCTGAGAAAGAAAGAAAAAATATGTTTTTTTTTTCAATCGATTCAATTTGGGTTACAACTGGAGATAATTAATTTACCGCAGATGATGTTCACAGAAATTGAGCAAAAATCCATATTTTAATCGTAAATATTTACGTAAAAAAAAAATTCTCAGCAAAATCCTGTAATACGTGTCAAATGATTTTATGTATAATATCTGAAAAAAAAAAAATTCAGACGATTCTAAAATGTGACAATTTATTTTTCCGAAAATCCGTACGATTTGTAAAAGAATGACCCATATATATATATATATATATATATATATATATAAAAATCAAAAAAAATAAAATTAAAATGCTATATTGCAAACTTTAATATATAAATAAATATTGAAATTTTTATTTGACGTATTGACTGTTTAATTATTACTAATAAATAAATATTATTTTCATAATTTATATATATATATATATATGGATATATGTATATATATATATATATATATATATATATATATATATATATATCAATCATACAATCCTCAAGATATATATATATATATATATATATATATATATATATACAGTAGAATCCGCTTAGTATGACATCGAAGGGACGCCGAAATCTCGTCATACTAACCGGTCGTCATTAAAAGCGTACTGAAGAAAAACTTTTTAATATGTAAATATGTTACATGTTTCAGTAATTTTAAAAAAAAGCCTATACAAACGTTTTAATTAAAAATAAAAATGACACATTAAAATTTAATATAAAATAAAATTGACATAGGGTAGGGTGGGGCACAAAGGTTCAATTTGACTTTCAGTAATTATACTGTCTAAACCCAATGAACAACCTTGCAACACTTAACACACATCAAACAAGCATCTATCAAACTATGTTCAGAAAAAAATTCACATAATTCCTAATTATATAAATATTATTAACTTCCCGTAGGGCAAGTTATAGTAATCGCAAAAAAATCGAAAATGAAAATAATTATATATCTTTACGTTTCAGAGGTTTCTGAACATTTTGGCATACCTTAGAAAAAATGGATGTATGTGTGTGTGTGTGTGTGTGTGTGTGTGTGTATGTATGTATGTATGTATGTATGTATGTATGTATGTGTGTGTATGTATGTGCGGATACAAATTTTCGTCGACGATTTCGGGAACACGGATTAACCGATTTGAATAATTCAAAAAACATTCGATTCGTATTGATAAGGAGACGTGCTGATTAGTTTTTGGCAAAGGCAGGTCCAGCCGTTCCAAAGATACGGGGCAAAAAGTGCCAAAAACGGTACCTCCGTTTTTAAGAGAACGGAGCGTCCGATTTGAATAATTCAAAAAACATTTTACTTGTATTGACAAGATGTAGAACTGATCAAATTTTCATGAAGGCAGGTCTAGCGGTTTCGGAGATCTAATGAAAAAAGTAAAAAAAATGCCATTCGGCGGTTAAAAATGATCATTAGACATATGCACATCAAATTGTCAGATATTTTATAGAGATTTCAACAATAAGTATATTTTTTTTTTACATTTCTGTGGGTTCCGTACCAATGTTTACGCGTTAGACGGCGGCGCGGCACTAGCGAGCTTTGACATTTCGTCTCTATGCAGTTCAAGCAGTGCAGTGCAAGTGAAAAAAAGTTCAGAATTTTCAAAATATGTCAAAATGAAGAAAACATTTTTTTTCAAAATTTTTTTTTGTTTTCAAAAAAAAAATTTTTTCTCAAAAAAAAATTTTTCTTCAAATAAATTTTTTTTTTTTCAAAAAAAAGTATTTTTTTGTCAAATTTATAGTTTCTCAAAAATCTATTTTTTCGAAGTAAAATTTTTTCAAAAATGTTAATCGGTTTTTAAAAAAATAATAATTTTTGTACGGGAAGTTCCAGCAATTTGCCTTAAGGCACGATGCCCTAATTGCCTTAAGACAGAATTCCACTTACAGCTAGTTTTTTTACTATTTTTTTTAAATTTGGTATCTGATCCATTTTACCTCACATGCGGGGTAAAGTGGGACAACCAGGGGGCGAACAGATGCAATTTCTTTTATTAAATTTTAAAGGCATTTTATGCTACATTATTGAACCAATGCAAAATATTAATTCTGTGGGTACATTTGTTACAAAGACAACACAGTATATTACATTGATCTGCTATTGGTCAGAAATATTCATCAGAAGAGCCGGAATAACAATTTATTCAATTAATCTCTTGTAAAATTGCTTTTTTTAAACTTTACTATTTTATTGCTTACACCTTTGCCAAAGTAAAGGTTCAGCTGGTCCTTTTTATCGCAGTCATGTGCTGCTTATCTTCTGACAGCAAAGTCATAAGAATAAAAGTGATGGCTGGTTATGAATTTATACATTTTTCGCCCTCTACTATCAAATATTTTTGTTAAAAAAAATCTAATTTTATTTGGTTATGAGATATCTGTGGTGGGCCATTAATAATTAGTCTCCCCTACCCATAAACATACAAATGTGATTTTTTAATGTAAGTAATCAGTAATTTTTGATTGATTTCTTTACATAAATTTATTGTAAAAACAGTCCCTGGTGCTATTGTGTACAAAGCACATAGCAATTGCTTTTGTAGACTTGGCCACATCATGTAAAATCATGTCGGTCATTATAACTGGACATATTTTTTTGCAAAAATGGGTCATTATAAGCGACATGCCAATGTAAGCGATGTCAATATATCCGACTAAATACAATAATCCATAAGAAATTTTATATGGAAACCAAACTTCCTAGTGCGGTTACGTCATGATAAGCGGTTGTCAATATATCCGGCGTCATACTAATCGGTTTCTACTGTATATATATATATATATATATATATATATATATATATATATTCTCTGCGAAAACAAAATTACATGACTTACTCTAGTACATAAAGCACATGTAATGGCCCTGGTTTTTTCAACTTTTTTATACAAAGTTCCACCTAAATTTAAATAAAATTCTGTATAATAAAAGAAAAATGTATAGATTTTCAAATGACGCTAATTTAAAAGTAGTCCAAAGAGCCGCACTTGTAAAAAATACGAAACAAAATTTCATTCATGCATTAACAAATAATTATTTAACAATAATTAAACACATTAGTTGTTCGATATCTTTTATATTTCTGACAAAAAGTGAGTTTGAAAAAAGGGGTCATTCTCACATATTTTCAATGATATCTCGAGCAAATAATAACCTATGAACTTCTAAATTAGTATATCAATTTTTTTCAAAAAGACCTATAAAATGACATATAAATTTAAATACCGATGTGAGGCCGTAATGTATAATAATACATTATAACAATTGAAATTAAATAAATAATTTATAAAAGCATTTACTTACTTTTTAGATGACTTCTTATTTCCTCTATTTCTAGCACTAGACTTCTTTCGAGCTTCCTTTTCTGACTCATATTCATCATCATCATATGAAGCCCCATTACCAGAATAACTAGAATTCAAATTGGGCCCTTTTCTCTGAGATATTCTACTACTCTTTCGAGGGCCTTCAATTCCTGTAATAAATACATTTTAAATGTATTGTAATGCAGAACTATATCTCATGTACAAACCCATGCAAGCCTGCAAATGTTTTGTATATTTAGCAGAACAAACATTTTTCTTGCAAATGGAGTTTGGGCAAATAAAGTACTGATCATCTTTAACGACACTTTGACCAAATATGTCTAAACCAGGCTCATTGATAACACTTGATTCGCTTTCATTAACAGGAATGTTCGCAATGTTGTCACATTTATTTGTTTTGAGACCATAGTGGAATTCAAATATCACATCTAATAATGCTTCTTGCATTAAACTGTCGAAAACAGAGTAAGTGACATGTTCCAATTCATTTGAACGCCGCATCAATTCTAGAAAGCCGTCTGTGAGTTCATAAATGTTTAACTCTTTATAATTTGGCATATTGAACATAATATGCTATTAGATATCTGCATTTCCTCTTTCCACTTTGCAGTGCTAGTAATAATATTGCTTATTTCCCAATGTCAAAAATGTTATATTGTAAGAAGTGAATAACCTATGAATCAATCAATCCAATACCACAAAACAAGTGAATTTGTCAAAAGCGCCGTATGGCGTAATGGCGTATGACAGGTTGACAGAGCAAGCCTGTCCAACCTACAAAAGCAAAAGCAAGTCCTTAGATTGAATATGTTATATTCATATTCATTGAACTATATTCATATAATCATTGGTCTTATGCTTATTTATATGCCCTTATGCTTATTTATCTATGATTGGTCCTTATGATATATTTTATTGGTCTATTATAATATTATGTTATATACATATAATGATGGTCGTTTTTTATTTTCAAATTTGCCTCAAACATAGTTCGGTTATCGGATTGTGGTTTGCAAATAAAAAAAATTGGATTATAGTTAACATCAAGGTTTTTATGAAACGATAAAAATTGAACTCTTGAAACCATCACGACTAAAATCATTAATTACATAAATCAAAAGGCAATACATAATTGGAAAGGTGATGAATAAAAGTATTGAGGAAAAATCTGAGAAAAAAAGTAATGAAAGTTCAAATATTCATTTTCATTTCAAAATTTCAACTAATAAGAGCTTATATGACATTGCGGTTTACTACTTACATTGTGGTAACTTTCTTTGACCTTTACCTGGTGCTTTACTATTCATTTACTCTACCTCCACCCTTGTTACTTTACCTTTACCTTACCTCTACCTTTACTTGATGCTTTACCTTTATTTTACCTCTACCTTCACCTGTCCTTTACCTTTACCTTAACTCTACCTCTACCTTTACATTTACCTTTATTCAACCTCTACCTTTACTCTACCTCTATTTAAAGGTTGAATTAAAAGTTTTTGAGATATTGGTAGTGGACCTTACCCACAAAGTTTTTAACCCCACTCTTTTTTAATATATTTTTTTCGACTATATATTCTTTTTTTGCCAGAAACGAAATTATAAAAAAATTTTCAACTGAAAAACAATAAGATTGTCATTCAAAAGTGATAAATGAGTGTCCCTTAATATAGACATTTTCGAATTTGCTTGTTCCCAGGGGCTCAAATGGTTCCAAATTGATAAAAAACAATTCCCTGACTAATATTAACGTTTAGATAGTGGGCAATTCAATCAAACTTTGTATGGAAATAACATGGAAAAATTTTGAAAATTAATAAAAAAAATTTTTTAGGTATAGCTTAGCAACAAAATGAATTAAAAGTGAAAATTCGTGTCATTTTTTATTGAAAATTCGACGCTCTGAAATTTTTTTAAAAACTTTCTCATGCTATTTCTATACAAAACTTTGATTTGTGCTCTATCTAAAAAACAATATTAAGAGCTAAAACTTTCAGAGAATTGTTTTTTATCAATTTGGAACCATTTGAGCCCCTGGGAGCAAGGAAATTCGAAAATGTCCATGTTAAGGGCACCCTTATGGGTACAAGTCTTTGAGGTACCCAACGTAAAAAGCGCGATTTGCGCTCGAAAATATTTAATATATTTTGATGTAACAATGTCTCCAACATATTGTGGAAAGAATTTTGTACCAGAGAAAAAAAGAAAAAAACTTTTTTTTTTTTCAATCGATTCAAGTTGGGGGAAGGGTTAAAAAAACCTTTATAAATATTTAAGGGTTGTTATAGTTGAAAAAATTGCAAAAATATTTTTTTTAAATCATTACAAAATTTCACTTCAATATAATAAGTGTAATGAAAAAATAATAATGCTGATCCGATCAGCACAACTAGAGATAGTTAATTTACCGCAGAGGATGTTCAATAATCCATATTTGAATCGTAAAAAAAAAAATTCAGCAAAATCCTGAAATATGTGCCAAATGATTTTATGTATAATATCTGTAAAAAAATTTCAGATTCAAAATGTGACATAGAATTGACACAAGAATGACCCATAATTTGACTTCAGTTATAAAAGAACAAACTTCTTGTTTTATTAATAGATTATTGCAATTACCCAAAAGTTATCTTATCAATTATGCTTATCAATTTATGAATAATATCTTTAAGAATATAATATTTTTTTTACTTATATCTAGATAACAAAACTGTTTTCATCACATATACAAAATATAATACCATATATAAATAAGTAGATCAATTTAAATTCTATATTACAATAATTGAAATAATTGATAATGCACCAGTGACATCAGAAAGAATACGTTATTGCATTCACCATTACTTATATCTAGGTAACAAATTGTTTTCATTACATATACAAAATATAATACCATATATAAATAAGTAGATTAATTTAAATTCTATATTACAATAATTGAAATAATTAATTTTAATGCAACAGTGACATCAGAAATAATACGTTATTGCATTCACCATTACTTATATCTAGGTAACAAATTGTTTTCATTACATATACAAAATATAATACCATATATAAATAAGTAGATTAATTTAAATTCTATATTACAATAATTGAAATAATTAATTTTAATGCAACAGTGACATCAGAAATAATACGTTATTGCATTCACCACAGATTTTGCTTTGCAAATACTTTGATACTTTTCAAAGGCCTTTGAAAAATATCACCATGCACACATGCTTAGATATTTATATATACTATTCTATATTAATTTTAACGAACTTAGGTCTAGATTATAAAAATATTTGTTCATGATTAGTGATTAATGTATCTATGACCCTGTTCTGTTCAAAGCAGTGTATAGCTAAGTCAAAACACACCGCAGACGGACTTCTAGGCGCATTGTTCGGCTGATCTAAAATTATTTTTATTTATTAGATGCGTCATTATGAACAAAACTAATTACATAAACTTTACTTTCGCCCATGAAAACTCTATATAATGAAACTGATTAATATAAGAATGCGATCATCACATTTTAGGATACAAATTTTCGTTGACGATTTCGGGAAGACGGCTCAACCGATCTCAATTATTCAAAGAACATTCGATTGCTGTTGATAAGAAGACGTGCTGATTAGTTTTTGACATAAGCAGGTCTAGCCGTTTCGAAGATAAGGGGCAAAAAGTGCGACAAACGGTAACTCAGTTTTTAAGAGAACGGAGCGTCCGATTTTAATAATTCAAAAAACATTTTACTTGTATTGAAAAGATGAAGAATTGGGGGGTTCCTATGGGTTCTGTACTAATGTTCATCCGTTAGACGGCGACGCGGCGCTTCGATATTTCGTCTCTATGCAGTTAAAGAAGTACGATTGCTTTGAAAAAAAGTTCAGAATTTCCAAAATATTTCAAAATAAAGAAAACATTTTTTATCAAAAAGTCTTTATTTTTTAAAAAAAGTATATTCTTGTCAAAAATGTATAGTTTCTCAAAAATCTATTTCTTTTTTTCAGAGTAAATTTATTTCAAAAATGTTAATATTTAAAAAAAAAAAAATTTTTAGTACGAGAAGTTCCAGCAATTTGCCTTAAGGCACGATGCCATGCGCCATACTAGTTTTTTAGAATGTTTGTTAAGACTAAGAACCTTATCATCATGCAAAGTTTCATAAAAATCGCCAAAATTTCGCCATCAACTAATTACGAAGAACCGACCTAGTTGATCTTTACCAAGAACTAATCAGCACGATTCCAAACTGATATTTTTAACAGTTTTTAAATTATAAAAATTGGCTCAGGATTTTTAGCGAAACATGAAAGAAACATTTTACGCTTATCTGCTCGGCGAATCGTATCGAAAACTAATCAACATAGTCCTTATCTAGTTTCAAAAAATGGTTTTTAAACTTTTGAAATCGAGAAAGCATGAATGAAATGTTATATTTTGGATCACATACGCACACATACTTGTTTAAATTTTAGTGTGAAACGATTCAGACTGACTTGAAACGTCGAGAAAAATAAAATAAGCATATAGAATTTTCTGGCGCAAACATGAACCTCTCATTCGGGGTGTTAAAAGAAGTGATATAATTATAAATATTAAATAATTGAATATATCATTTTATTACCGTCTGCAACACTTGCCGGTGGTATCCACATAAGTGAGGGTCCCCAGACAATAGACAAATTGTTCACATGCATCCGGTTGGCTTGGCTACATTCCGTAACGCGTATCAAGTGCGCCACTAAATGTTGTAACGTATCTCGATTGCAAATTGGCAGGCAATGCACTAGATCACGTAGTCGCAATACTCGTTCATTATCATCTGGTATAGCTAGAATAATTTATATGATTAGATCAATTATTTACACATATGGAAATCGTAGTCATTTCACCACTATAATAATTACTCATAAGGCCCTTTATTTTATGAATCCAAATAAAACATGCTGCATTACATTTAATATTTTGTTCGATAAAGGTAAATACATACCGTTGGCTTCTAAGAATGAGTGGAACGCATTAAAAGGAATTAAAGGTTCTTTTAATTCTCTGAAAAATAATTTTAAGGATCCTGCTATAACGTGAGGATCTTCCTCTTCGCGTATTGCGTCTAATATTCCTTGATTCACCTATAAAACAAAACGATAATTTCATTCAATACGATCGTATGATGATGCTTAACTTACATAAGTTAATTATTTATTCATTAAAAATTAAATCATTTATAAAATTCAAGCTTTGTTTAGTCCTATACGTTAAACTATTTTTGTGTTATTATATTCATATAAATTTTATCTCGTTTAATCATATATATATATATATATATATTATATATTATATATATATATATAATATATATATGGAGGTGTAGTAGTCCTCCATATTAATACCAATATTATCCAAATTGTAGTAATAATAAATTCCATAAAATATTATTTATATTTGGTTTATTTATGTATGATTAATATCCACGACACTATGTGTTGTC